AAAAATTTTCTCCACCAAAGGTACTGAAGTTTTTAGATCACAAGGCTAACATGCATAACGCCTTCAAAGAAATATCTACTGCAAAGAACTGGCAATGCTCAAAAAAGTATCTTTACTACTAACATGTTCTGGGTAAAGAGTTATCTTCATGAGTTTCATAGCTTCTCCAATGTTGGGTACTTCCCAACATTCACTACGTATGGTGGAGGAAAAGACAGCAACAGAAACAGACTTAAGGAAAAATTAGGTTGAAATGCCAATCACAGTTTGCTGTCATATACAGCAATGATGAAACAAAAGTGACCTCTACACGGTCACACTGTCGGTTTCAAGAACTAAGATGAGCTTGAGCTCACTGTCAGCTACAATTGTCAAAAATAAGTAGCAGAGACACTAATATGAACATCAGATGATAGTTCTATTACAAATATGAGATGAAAAGAACCCAAAGAATACGAAAAAAGCATTTTCTTTTGCTTAATTGGGACAGAATGACATTGCTCACAAGGATTGTATTATGCAGAGGTCTTTAGGTGCTTCAGACTACATGTGACATGAAAATTATTCTATTGTGTACAGATTTACTGAAGAACAAGCAGTTATAGTAATTACAGCTATCTTTTACCATGAAAGTCAAAGATTTATTTCAACCTTTGCAGTCTCAAAAAGCTATATGCATTTTTTTACTTTCAAATTATTACAGTTTTTCTTTATTCAAAGCATTTTGAATACAATCTGCATGTAAAGACAAACACTTTCTGCTGCATTTAAGGTATGTGTATATATGCAATCAAAGCTGCATCTTGAATTCGTAGTCATGCAATTCAGGTAACATTAGCTTGGTTAATGTTACTACAAAGGAATGTGTAGCCATAGCAGCAGAGAATTTGATGCAGGCTGCAAAATCTGACTGAAAACTTAGTGAATAATGCAGCTTTCTGTGCTGCAGTGAGCTCTGCACTGTCTTGGATATGCTGCTCTGTGTATTTGAACTTAAGTAGCTTGAAATAATAGCAAGCTGCAAATATGCCTTGACTGTTGTTGTAAATAATTGATAAACTCAGATCAGCCATAGCTATTAGCTGCCTGAAATGATCTTCTAATGTGCAAAATCCCTATCATTGAAAATTAAGTGCTTTCTTCTGCTCCCTAAATAAAATAAAAAACGTCCTCTATTAGTACAACACTAAACCTATACCAATACTCTCCTTGTATCATACAGTGCTCTGAATGGGAATTACAGCAAAAGAGTACACCATAGTATCTCATGTAGTCTATGGCCCTATGCAGTTAAAGCAAATTGTAACCTTTACTGGTAGTTTTGCACAGAGATGTATTTAATTGTTAATTTAAAAATACAAAGCACTGTGAATGGGAACAAAACATATCAATCTTATCTATGTCATTTAATATCTACTGTATATTATTTGCATTCTAAAGGTGTTAGAACGTTTCCAAGATTCAGCAATTCCAAATGTGTATTATTGATGTTAGTTATGCAGCAAGACTTTTTCTCCACAAGAAATATTCTGACTCGATGGGCCCTGTCACAAGCATGAACTAGTAATTCTCATCACAAAAACAGAGCATATTTAAACTTGACAAAACCTACATACCATGTTATAAAGAGGCTATCTATCCAAAAAAAGAAGAGTAGGACTGAAAATAACACACCTAATAGGCTACCCTGGGATGTTGCATGAGAACCAGTACTCCTTTGTAATCAGAAGTATCAGCTGAACACTACCAGAGCTTTCTGGGCAGCTCAACAGATCATGAAGAGAAAAATGGCCCACCAATACCTAGCATTTCACTAAATTTACTATTATTTTTTTTTCTTAAGCAGTCCATTTAGTTAAAGGAAACTGTGAAACATGGAGCCACTGCTCTCTAGTTTCCTGTTCTGGTTTCATGTGTGATACAGTTAATTTTCTTCCTAGTAGCTGGTACAGTGCTCTGTTTTGGATTCAGTATAAGAACAATGTTGATAACACACTAATGTTTCAAGTGGTACAAGAAGCTGGCAGGGAGTATAGCCAGGACAGCTGACCTGAACTGGCCACAGGGATATTCCATACCATATGGCATCAGGCTCAGCACATAAACTGGGGAAGCTGGTCAGGAGCCACTGATTGCTGCCGAGGGACTGGCTGGGCATTGGTCCACAGTGGCGAGCAATTGTATTGCACATCACTTGTTTCTCTTGTGTTTTATTGCTCTCCCTCCCTCTCCTTTTCATTGCTATTACTTATTTCAATTATTAAATTGTTCTTTTCTCAATCCATGGGTTTTACCTTTTTCTGATTCTCCTCCCCATCCCCTCAGAGAGGACAGAGAGAGTGGCTGCATGGAACTTAGGTGCCTGCTGGAGTTATAACACCATCTATGCTTGGTTCTGATTTGTAGTCCACTTTTTAAGGGAAATATCTTTAAACATAAAGACTAAGTCAGATTTTATTAATTTGGTTTGTTATGTTTTGAAAAGGAAGAGATTGATTAGAACTCGATGGCATTTGCTCAACAGAAATTGCTACACTCTGAACGATTCAAAGGACAGACATTTCAAGTCATGGTTTGTAATTCTCTGACTGCATGATGAATCCCAGGTATGAATCTGCAGTGTGCATTAGTAAAGTATATCTACTATAAGTGAATGTTAGTCTCAGAGGAACAAACAGGAATCAAAACAGTTACCAGTTAACCATAACAGCCAAAACCAGTACAGAAGCAAAGAAGGAAAGTGCCTGAATTGCTGCTCCTTAAGGATCTTTAGCAATCTCCACATATTTTAATCTCAGAGTAAGCCAGTGGGATTTTTTTTCCATGATACAAAATTTAGCATCCATTTGAAGTTTTAGGTTGAGAAAAAAATAGCTAATCAACAACAGACCAAGCCAATATTTCTGTCTAATAACATATCCTAATTTTTCTGAAGTGAGCTGAAATCATAGACTTTTGCTTATACAGTGTCTATGCAATAAACCATTATATATAGTATTGATGACTTATCATACACATATAGATAGAAAGAATAGGCTATTTCATATGTATCTATATCAGACACGAAGTGCAAGAAAAAATGATACAGAGGATAATACTGAAAAACCCCTGATATCACACATTGCTCAACTCAGAAACAAAAAATTTTATCGTTATAATTCTTGACTTGACTGGCCACATCATTAACTTCAGTGACATTACTATTGACATTATTATTATTATTATCCAAAAATTCACTTTGACACTTGGGGTCTAGTATTCATTCCAGACAGTATGTAACATAAGTGACCATATATTTCTATTAAAAAGCAAAAGAAAGGCCTTGATAAATGAACTCATCATAATCTACATCAGGTATAGTCCTCTGTTTGAGTCAAGATAGGAAGATGTAACATGTAGGTATTGTGACAAGTATCAGAAAATCAAAAACATACTAATGAATTCCTTAAAAACAAGCTCAGACTTGTTCTGGCTTGTTCCTGAACTAACAGGACAGGTGAAAGAAAATCTGAATTAATTTTGAAATGTCTTAGAATTAGCAACAAAATGCTCTATGCAAAAACTGACTGGTAAAAAAAAACCCCAAAACCAAAAGTATACTTTTCTCTCCAAATCAAACATCTGGACTTCTGACTTTAGTACCAAATTATACCCACCTGATGCACAAATCAGCCCATGGGTCAGACTAAGATTTTGCAGCATTAAAATCTTGGGAGGGGGGTGGTGTTAGTTTTTGGGTTTTTTTATTTTTAATTTGAAACATAAAACATGGCCATAATGTTTGTCCAAAGGAAATTAGTTTGAAAACTGGAAACTATATTGTCTGTCCATAGACAGCTAGCTAGATGGAAGGTGTTGATAAGAAGAAATATAATATAACTGTTCTCACAAGCAGAAACACTTACAGGACAAATTCAGATGTGCTCTGTAGTCATTACTCAATGTTATGTGCTAGACAAGTACCTGTCAAATATACTTGATTCCTCTTTGATCAAATTCCTTTAAGTGCATAAATTATCTTTAAACTGTCCTTCCAGCTCTGATTTCTTCAATTTTGTGTTTAATAGGTGCCCTGTTTTTTTGGGTTTTGTTGGGTTTTCTTTTGCTACAGACACTTAAAGAAATAAACTCTTAAACATGTGGTGTAACTAATATAATCAATTTTATGGCATCTGCCTTATAAATCCACAGTGCATTTAAATATCAAAGGATAGTGCATTCAAAGGATAATGCATTCTGCTTTAAAAACTATGAATGATTTTTTTTTCCTGTAAGTTTAAATTAAAATTTTTCTTTACAGAGGTACTACAGATATAAACTTCTTCCTGAGACCATTAGTTATGAACCACTGAAAACTGTCACTCTGGACTCCTTAAGCACATAGTTAATATAATAACATTCTGTAGATTGTCTATCAAACAAAGCTAAAAGGTACCCACACCTTCCTTGTAACTTTTCACAAGCAAGTCCTACTGACTAGTGTGAGATAGTTTAGGAGCTAAAGAACAACCATTTACCATTACTTTGTTGATACAGCATCCCTTTTGAATTATACTGGTAAGCGATGGCTTAAACCACTCCAACTATAGTATCAAGAAAACCAAGACAAATAAACACAGAATGAACGCAAAAAGTTCTCCAGTTTGTTACAACAAACAGTAACATTTAAAACATTTGTAATCCCTGTTTTTTATTATAGTTTCATAATCCCTTAAAAATCCTTGCATAATATTCTTAAGGATTATAAAAGTATTACATTTAAAAACATAATCAAATTTTAAATAAACAAACCCCCTACAATAGACAGAAGAGCTCTGCAAAGTAATCAGTAAGTATAGTTTCAGCACGTAATATTCAGACAATTTTTAAAAGGCAAGTTCCAATATGGTAAAGTACTCCACTAATGTACAAAACTGAAAAAACCCCACAGCTTGAAAGCACAGATCAACTACACAAGCTAAGCTAAGAAGTGCATGCAATTCAAGAATATGGTTCATTACCATGGTTACAGGCTTTCAGAACAGGTCGCTGTGTGGTTGGACTGAGATTTTGTGGTATGTCTGCAAAAGCAAGGAAACAATGGAAATAAAACACCTCTTTGAAAGCTACTGGAGTATTGTAACATTACTAAGCAGAACCAATTAGAAGTCAGGTATTTCTAGGAATAAATGACAGTTATATACTAGAGAAATAATTTGACTCACTTATGAGGCAAGAAAACTTTATTTCCCCCATACAACTATAAACCCTAGAAAGCTAGAGTGGCTGTACTGAAAAGTCTTGTCACAATGACCAGGCTATAATAAGTTCAGTACATTCATTTCCAGTGTTATTGACACCAGAGACAGTCTGAACATCCCTGAAAACTGGCATCGCAAGAAGGAATTAAACCTGATAGTATTTAAATTCTAGAGCACTGGACCCATAATGCTTTTAAGTTTCTTTGGAAAATAAAATCTAAGATAGATTATTCACCTTTAGACCTCGGTGTCCTTTTCCTTCGGTCTCGAAAAGCTGCACCTGATTGCAAGGCCTCCAATAGGCTATCCATCACTCCAGTCTCCTCACCTTCTGTAAAGGAGAAAAAAGGAACCCTCTGGGTTACCATAGCAATATTGAAGCATAAAGAGTAATACCAATAAAAAGCAACAATAACAGGTACCAATGGTATTATAGAAAATATTTGTTTCAAACATTGACCAGTGTTTTAATATTGACAAATTGCTCTCTTGCAATTAATCACAATGGATTTGGCCTTCTATAGGTTGAACTACGCCAAATTTTATTCATTTCACATTTCTCTTTCTCTATACTGAGAGTCAAGTATAGTTTTAAGTGAAATGTCATTTCACTCATCTTTTCATTTCACTGACTTTATACAACTGCAAATAATCAGTCTGATGTCAGCTTTCAAGAGCTTTCCCTTAAATGATTTGCTACATTAGACAAAAGATCATTTCAGTTATTGTTATAAAGAGTTCAAATTGTTTCTCAGCAGGAAGTTGAGTGAACAATATTGGACTGGATAGGATACAGTGATATCCATAGGCAGCTTTAATCAAAAGCCATTTTCTGCTCACATTGAATAATCTCTGGTCAATATTAAATAATTGATATGGTTCACGAAAATTCTACTCATCAAATTAAACAAGTATCATGTGTAATAATACACATGTCTATAATAATCCCCATAAGAATTATGAATATTATTGTGAAGTGGTAACCAAATGCAACATTAAACACCGTCTTTGTATTTCCTCAAATAAACACATCAGAAAATGTTAGATTTTTGAAATTGTTACGTTGTATGTATGCATGGGAGGACAAAGAACACAACTCCAGGGGTTGACCATATGATGAAAAATCTCCAGAGAAATAAAGAATTATATCATAAAAATCTCTCATGCCCCACTGGGCAAAACTCCCTAAGTCAAGGAGCTGACCACATCATATGATTCTGCAGTTATTGCTAACAGTGAATTATGCAAATCAGGGCATAAACTACCTGGTATATACAACAAGATGCTGAGTAGAGAGTGACAATTACTTTCCTAGTCCTGCCAGCCACACTATTCCTGATATAAACCATTGGCCTTCTTGGTCACCCAGGCCCTACTGCTGGCTCGTGTTCACCCAGCTGTTGAATCAGCACTCCCATGTCCTTTTCCGACGAGCAGCATTGCAGCCACTCTGCCCCCAGCCAGTAGCACTGCATGGGGTTGTTGTGGTCAAAGTGCAGGATCTGGCACTTGGCCTTACTGAACTTCATACAACTGGTCCCAGCCCACTGATCCAGCCTGCCCAGATCCCTCTGCAGAACATTCCTACCCTCCAGCAGATGAACACTGTCACCCAACTTGGTGTAATCTGCAAACTGACTGAGAGTGCACTCGATTCATCCAGATCATTTGTTGATAAAGATACCAAACAGGACTGGCCCCAACACTGAGCCCTGGGAACACCACTAGTGCCTGCCCTGCAAATGGATGTAACTCTATTCACCATCATTCTTTGGGCTCAGGCATCCAGACAGTGTTTTACCCAGAGAACAGTAATCCTTAGTTCTTCTCTTTTCTCTATACTCAGTACTACCAGACTAGTTTTCAACCTTACACAATAGAGCCATACATGAAAATAAAAGTGAAAATGAGCAAATATTTCATAATTTTGCCTAACATATCAGGTATAGAATAAACATGAAGGCTGAAATATAGTTTGGTTTTTTTCCCTTCTGTTTTGTGTTTGGTATAACATGCTTTATTATGTTGAAGTTTGTCCTCTTGTGACTAATGGACTATCCGAGCTGTTAGTACAGTTTGGAATGTGCCTTACAAACAAATCACTCAGACGGTCTTCAGCTTCCTATTTTTTTGTTTGGGGTGTTTTTTTTTTGTGGCAGTCCCCAAAAATATACCATTAAGGTTTATGGAAAAGAGTTCCCAAGCTTTGTTTTAGGAAGGAGGAATAACAGAAGAAAATTTTCAATCCTATTTCAGTATGTCATCTCCCTCCTTTCAAGCCTGTCCAAGACTACTATGGATTTCACAGTTATTGTAAAAACTTAACAATCTTCAGTAGGAAAAAAAATATCCTGGTGTATAATCTGCTATAGTGTAAAAAGGCTCATCAAATAAATAAAAAAAAATATTTAAAATAATGGAAGAGAAATACTGCAAAACCACAATTTCTTGTAGCATAGCTGTAACATATTTATGGGTACTATCTTGTTTTCATACTTATCTGAAATATACCGTAGTCACAAAGTGGATTATAGATTAGTGCTTCCATTGACATGCAAAATAGTTCACAGAAGAAAAAATGGAGTAGATTGAAACTTAAATTAAAAAACTCCTCTGGTACTTTTCCTGTATATATAGATGTATTGAAAAAAGCTAACCACTGCAAATAAAAGCATTCATAGCTAATACTCTTTGTACCCAAAAGATGTAGGAAACCTGTTTTTCAAACTGTTACAACTTCATTAGGCTCCAAATTCTGTTTTTTGATGCCTGCATCAGCAGCTGATTTTGACACTTCCATCAAGTTATGCAGTTAGCTACTAGTACCCACACTATAATATTGTCCACGTTTATATGATAGAAATATTAAGAAATGAAACTCTACCATGCAGTATTTTAGAAATCTTTTAAAATGCCATGGGAAAGCTGCATACAACATTGCTACAGTGATAGTATAAGAGTCACAAATATTGCTTGATATTGACACTTCCTATGGGACCTCTAAATAAGCTTTCAAAAGCTGCTGCAGGCTGCTGTCACCAGTCCCAACTGGTTTCCTAATTAGTCAAGCGTATCAATCTTTTGACATCATAGAACTAGTAATTCTAGTTGTCTTGCAGATAGCTACATAGCCAACAGTAATTCCTTTGAGGAATTATACCCTTTTATGACTTAAACAACCTCTTTTCCTTCAATTGCAGAATAGGAGATTTAAATATTTTTTAATATCATAACTAATTAAACCCCATACAACCGCCTTTTAAATACCATCTAAAGGAGAAGTAAACTTCCCAAAGTAGATGCTGAATTTTGCCCTTGACATTTCAGTGCCAAGATATAAACTACCTAATTTCATAATTACATTTTTAAAAATGTTAAGAATATTAAAGACCCTTCTTGTCTAGTGCACCGAATATAATAAGCTTGACGTGTAAAACTATAATGTCTTATAATGATAGCAGCAGATACTGCAGTTTGTAAGGACATCTGCATTTTATGTACTTCTTAAGAAGCAAATTATATATACCATAATTCCAGGAGCAGTAGTCCACTGACATGATAGAATCACAAGAATAATTACCGACGTGATTTAAAAAAAAAAAAAAAAAAAAAAAAAAAAAAAGTGGTGCAACAAGATAATTTTGAATGAAAAATTTTTCATTTTTACGATTTCCCTGAACCTGTCCAATATAAACTAAAATATCACACAACACTAGGACTCCAAAAGTTCACTTTACTAGGAGAAAAACATAAAATAATATGTCTATTTCCTCTTTCACAGAATCAAAGCTTTATTCAGCTACTCATCTCACAAAAGAAAATACTGAGGAGTTTCAGAAAAACAAAAGCAGGGATTCTTTAGCATGGTTTCTGTTGATGTTGCCTACTCAATCTGTACACTTAAGAGATTTATCTACAAAAACTTTGACTATTATTTTCCACCAGCCTCTATTTATGGCATTGCAATTACATACAGCTTTTTGTTACATAGTAAGGAAAAGGATCATCTCCTAAAGACAAAAAGCCTCATCTGAAAATAAAACTGCACAATCTGGACAAATTAGAAAGAGACCTTACAGATTTCACAGTTGTACCAAAAGGAAAAAGTTGCAAAACCTCAAGGGGTACTCCTGAAGTCATCCCGAGTAGCAAAGACTTTAATTATCTATGTATAATTTTTGACATAACCCTGTGGCAGCACTCGAGTTTTGATATAATTTAGTAACAAACTTGGAGTGCTGAAGCTATTGGATTTGTTTTCCTTGTCTGAAGATTTAAGTCCAGATCTCTCAATTCAGCAAGTACCAGCATTAGGACTTTTTTATTCTTGTTTGCTAGAATACAAACTACTTTTTTTCCCCTCTTCAGCTCAGGACATAATTCAGCTTGGATATATTGTATCCAGTATATTTAAGTGAAATGTAAGCCCTTCCCAGCCTTCTTCCAGGGTCAGCTACATTATGTCTTGTGCATTAAAGTACAAAAAATTCAGAGGCAAATGATTACCAAGCTTGGGACAATGATGGCAGAGATTTTTCCAGACTATTATTCACACAAGGAAGGAAAAAAAGAAAGATACATCTTTTACTTTTTTAATGTTGTATCTTTACTCTCAAGACATCATGGAAGTCCTTTATGTTTGTTTGTATAAGGATTGATTTTAATCAGTACAGCCTACAAAGAAATGCTCAGCTGAAGATGGAAGATCTCCATTTCAGTAAAAACTGAAAGACCATTTTCTAAACAATGTCACATTAACCATGCTGTAATGTTGAATGAGTTAGGCTTTAGGAAGCAGAACAGCAGATCACAGAGAGGAAGATAATTCAAGCCCTCAGTGCAGTAGTGAGCTCCAATGTTTTGGATGTGGTTCCATCTTTTTAGTCAGAGCCTAAGGCAGCCAAATTTTGTGAAGTATTCATAATGGGGACATGTAAAAACTCCTAGATTTTGCAGCCTTACATATGAACAGGGCAGGACACTCTTTGAAGGCTTTTACATTGTAAACATAAAAATACAATGCAACTCAAATGTTTCGAAATGTTCAGCAATGACCACCTAAACTCAGACTCCTCACTCCAATGAAATTCAGATACAATTTTACAAAGAAATTGTGTATGAGTGTTAAGGGCAACTTTTTTAGAAAATGCACAGGATATATAGGCTTCAACTTTAAGCTGTTCTAAGGCTTTGAAGTTTTTCTGGTAAAAGCCGTAGCATCAATCAGATAATTTTCACTGACGGGTGAGTTAAGGAATACATGACTGTCAGTTTGACTTTCAATAACAGTGCATGAACTAGAGCTATGACTCACAACACAGAGGTTCCTTT